TGAGAAGACGTCAAAGAATGCTATGCTTTACATGCATTCCATCAACTAACTTTTCTGGAACACATTCAAACATATTCATAAGAATACGTGGGTCTTTTTTGTATAATAATGAAAACCAACCGACTTTACTACATAACATGTGTCTTTCAGTTCGTTTGTCTGTCTAGTCTGTCTGTTGTCAAGACTGCCAAATCTATTCCAAACAGTCTTAAATACTAATTTCGATTCAGGAGGGACCCTGTAACTTTCTAGAGCACACTCAAACATATTCTAACAATACTTGTGCCTTGTGTGTCATGATGAAAAAAAAGGACAAGATCTACCTTTTTGAACAAATAGATAGATTTTGCCTGTGAGGCTGTGGCAATCAGCAGTAATGAAACTCAGCGCAGGCCTCAGTCCCTTTTCATCATTCACTTGCAGGCTTATGCCTAAAACAGTTTTCCCTTTCCATATGGTTTGAACCTAGGTTTGTTGTTCGGACTGATCATGAAGGGTTGAAACAAACATTTGAGGCAAATATAGGCAAATGCAAATCTGCACCGTAGTGTGGAAACTGAATGTTTTTGTTTTTTCTTCAGAGGTGGGGTAGCATTTTACTAACTTTGATTAAGCGACTCTGAGTGCTTGCAACAGGTAGTAAGCGCTCAAAGGACGTTTTACCAAAGGGGGGTAGACCAGCATTGCCAACATTGATTGCTGTTGGTTTGTCTTCAGTGTCCGTGCCAAGTGGCTTCATGAACTTGGAAGTTGGAACTTTCATTAACTTTCAATAGCAATGGCCTCCAACCTACTAGCGATGGCCTCCAACCTAATAGTGTTCAGGGTTTAGGCCATTTCAGATTGAACTGGGAGAAAACATGTAACAAAAATCATATTCATGCTCTCGTGGACGGCGCTGGACATGCTGATGCTTTAACTTTTGTGGTCGATATTGACGTGCGGTGTCGTAAACACAGACTTGGTCTTGAAGTTTGAATTCATTGAAGCTTCAATGTTTTACAATGATATGTTTCATTCTCAATGTGCCTTTTTGGGGTGTGTTGCTTTTTGGACCTCGATGAACCTGTTTGTTCATAATCTTAATAGGGTTCCCAAACTAATATAAAATGGGTGTTGCCTCGTATTAAGATTATTCAAAAAGTGTGTTACCAAATTGATGTTGTTCATCACCTATGTGACATGTGATCCAAAATTAAAGAGGTGTGCAACTTCTGAATTACGAGAGCCCATGTGTAAGGATCATTTCATTGTGCTTAGCCGAAAATGAGTTAATATAAATTGACAAAATTGATCTTAAAACGATCCATTTAATGTTGGTAGTAACGGGGGTACAATGACAATGTCGCTTCAAAATTGGCCAAGTCTAATCAAATCGGCAGCGATGTGTCGCGTCCTTCAACACATCAGGCTCGTCTAACAGCCCTGCCGCAGTGCGCAGGTAGCGTGTCCATATGAAAAAAAGCTACTACTTGCCCAAAACAAGACTGCTTCAGGTGCAATGTTTACATTGAAAGAACGCACGCGGAAACAAAACACAAAGCAAACCGAAAAAATGGCATCCGCCTGAAATGTCGCTGAGCGACAACTCCTCCTGGCGGGGTTGGCCAGAATAGTGCTCTCCTATGACAGTAGTAACAAGTGCCACGCTACTAGGAACAAGTGCATCGCTACTAGTAACAAGTGCCTTACTAGTAGTAACAAGGTTCGCTACTAGTAACAAGTGCCTTATGACATGTCTCTAAGATTCTGTAGCGGGTGGATCGCAATCGTAGCGTGGAGCTCAACACGAAGCCGCAGAACGATAGCAGCAGGTGCAACGGCTTTTATGTCGACCAGTGTGATCGGGAAATCACGTGGTAGAAAAAAGGCTGCTGGACATGTAGGCCACACGAAAGAATGGAGACACGTACACGTACATGCATCAAGAAAGACCCTCAGTCTTCGACTGAATTTGCACAGCCTTGTGTCCTTGTCGCTTGTTCTGCTTTGCGGCTTGGAATGGGGGATCGAACGCCGTGGCCCATAGCAGCCATAGCAGTAGCACTAGCCAAGACCTTTCAACAAGCGAGCCAAACCTACCCTGATCACGCTTCTGTGTGAGGCCGGTCGGCCGTCTGCAGGGTCGTGGACAGAATCAAATCTTGTGCATCAGCTCTTCAAAACACGTGGTTGTTCCTGAACTTCTGGCAGAAATTGGTGCTTGATGGTGTTTGTCGTTCGCACCATCCATTGTTTCTTGAGATCGAAAGTCACCGCCATCATCTGCAAGCTGATCGTGGAAAGCATTTCCTCCACACCGATGGCGGCAATTGGTCGTTCCGAGTTCATC